TCACAAGATGATTGGAATATACAATCCAAGATTATGTGCAAGTTTAATGGATTAATTATGCCAATAGCTATTAAGAGAGCTGGTTGGATTTTTTTGAGGTCATGTAATTGTTGCTATAATTGTTAAGAATAGGAGCACTTTTTGTACTCCAAATGAATAAAAAAATATTTAATTGATAAAAAATAATTATATATCACATATTCACACTTTTGTCTCGATCCTATGTAAAACATAATCCATATGTAAGTATATATGTTCATCGACACAAAATAGCAAAGATGGTTAATTAATATGAACATGAAAACAATAATTACAAAAATGACATGTCTAAGACCCATGTATAACAGTCTCACATATCACAGTGAACCATATAGACTCCAATTTGTACAAATTTTCATGCATGCAGTGGAAAATGAACATAGAAATCAAAACCAGTACTCCATGCAACATGTACACAGATAGGGGGAACAGAATACAAAATACTGTCCGACGGAGAGATGAGAGGTAGAGAGAGAGTGAGATCGGACGGCAATAAAGCACATGGACGGTGGACGGCGCATAGTTGGGAGCTTTCTAGAAATCAGAGAGGGAACCGATGTGGGCAAGTTGATGGCTTTCCAAACAGAAGACTAGGGAAGAGTCAGGATGTTTGGGGATATGACAGAAGGGTGGATAAGCAGGCTGCTGTGTTTTTCTTCAGAAACTTTTCAGATGATTGGAGTTATGAAAGCATGTGGCATACTTTTTGGAAATATGGTTGAGTCTTGGCCATCTATAGTCCGCTGAGGAAATCTAAGTTGGGGAGTAGATTTGGTCTTGTAAGATTCTTAGATGTTAAGAATGAGGTGGAATTGGAACGTCAACTGGACCAAATTAGAGTAGGGGTGTGCAAATTTTGGGTCAACAAACCAAGTTCAGAAAAGATGAGGAGATGAATAGAGCTGATAAAAGAACAGTTGAGAGGGATCACGACAAACGATTGAGATCTTTCGCGGAGGTTATGAAGGGAAATTATGGGCTTGGAGCAAATCTAATGGGACAACCACAACCGGTAACACGTGTTGTAGCTGATAAAAAAAGCCAGCAAAAAGGAGACTC